TTTAGGGTTTAGGGTTTGCAGGGGTTGGAGGGTTTGGAAGGTTTCGAGGGTTTGGAGGGTTTAGGGTTTGGAGGGTTTGGAGGGTTTAGGGTTTGGTTGGGGCAGCTTGAAGACCCGGTGTATCCAGTGACAGCCGAAGGGAAGGAGCTTAGGGTTTAGGGTTTAGGGTTTAGGGTTTAGGGTTTGTTTGTTTCAGCTTGAAGTTGGGGTGTATCCAGTGACAGCCGAAGGGAAGGAGCTGGCTGATGACGACATAAAGGAGACCCCACAAGAACTCGTTGGCACCACCATGCGTACGGATGCTTTTGTCTCCTTTTCTTCTGTCTCCTGTCTCCTTTTCTTTTGTCTCCTTTTCTGCTGTCTCCTCTCTCCTTTTCTGTTGTCTCTTGTCTCCGTTTGTGCTGTCTCCTTTTTCGTTGTCTCCTGTCTCCTTTTCTGTTGTCTCCCTTTTCTGTCTCCTTCTCTGGTGTCTCCTTTTCTATTTTTTCTATTTTTGTTTCCTTTTTCTATTGGCGTTTTCTCTGACTCCTTTTCCGTTTCCTTTTGTGTCATTTGGACTTCTTCTTTGTGTCTTTCTGTCTCCTTTTTGTCTCTTTCATCCCATTTTTCTCCTTCTTCTTTGTTCCCTTCTCTGTCACCCTTTGTCCCCTTTTCTGTGGTTCCTTTTCTGTCTCCTTTTCTGTTTTCTTTTCTGTCTCCTTTTCTGTCTCCTTTTCTGTCTCATTTTCTGTCTCCTTTCGCCGTTTTCCCCTCTCCTCTATCTCTTTGTTTTCTTCTCAAACCCTAAACCCTAACCCCTACTTCTTAACCCCTACCTTCTAAACCCTAGACTCTGCTGCTTCCTACCCCCAACTCCAACACCTTATACCGTACCACGTAAACCCTAAACCCTAAACCCTAAACCCTAGAAATTGTGTGTGTGTTTGTNACACCTTATACCGTACCACGTAAACCCTAAACCCTAAACCCTAAACCCTAGAAATTGTGTGTGTGTTTGTGTTTATCATTAGACTATCAAGTGAAAGTTGGTAGTGTGTGTGGCTCGCTGGTGGAGGAGACAAAAGGTGTCTCCGTTCGTTTCTGGCCGTTTTTGGCTTCTGAGCCTCACAGCACTGCAGCAGCAGATCCGCAGCAGCAAGGAGACAGCAGCAGCAAGAATGTAGTGACTCTTAATCACTGTGAGCTGCTGCAGCAGCAGCCAGTTACAGAGGAGTTTTTGTCTTATCTACAAACGGAGACACTTCGGTTTGAGGTTTGGGGCTGCTGCATGCAAAAAACAATAAACGCCATTCAACAACAAAACAAACAAAATAAAAAATACACCTATAACGGATATGATGCTTTTGGTGCTGCTGATGCCGCCCTCAATGTGCTGCAGCAGCTACCAGGCATGCAGCCGCCTGCTGCTGCAGCACCAGCAGCAACACCAGGAGCAGCAGCAAAGGCTGAGGAGACACTTCAGAACGCAGTGGGAAGAGACACCAACACAGGCAAATATGTCTACAACGGATACTGCACACTCACACAAACCCCACAGCAGCAGCAGCAGCAGCAGCAGNGGGACGGGAAAGCAAATGCAGCTGAGCAAGGTGCTGGAGAAGCAGCAAAAGGAGCAGCAGCAGCAAAAGATGCAGCAACAAAGAAAGAAGGAGAAAAGAAACAAACAGAAAACAACAAAATAGAAAAACAGAAAAGCCCCACCCTCAGCATAAGAAGATGGTCTAGAGGAAAGACAACAGCAGAGACAGACAAAACACAAAAACAAAAAGAAGGAAATGAAATACAACGCACATCAACTGCTGCTGGTGCTCCTGCTGCTGCTCCTGCAGGAGAGCAGCAACAAAAGGCAAAAGACACGCAGCAGAAACCCGCAGCCGCTGCTGCAGCGAAAAAAGATAGCCAAAAGCCTGCCGCTGCTGCTGCTGCTCCTGCACAGCAGCAGCAAAAGCAACAGCAACCGCAGCAGCAGCAATCTGCTACTAAGGACAAAAAACCTGCAGCAGAGCCAAAGGCTCAGCCGCCGAAGGAGTCGCAGCAGCAGAAGCAGCAGCAGCAACAGAACCAGCAGCAGCAGCAGCAGCAGCAGCAGCAAAAGGAGGAAAAGAAGGAGCCACAGAAGCCACAAGAGGCCCAGGAGCAGAAAGAGCAACCCCAAGATCAACAGAAGAATGAGCAGCAGCAACAGAACCAGCAGCAGCAACAGCAGCCTCAGCAACAGGAGCAGCAGCAGCAGCAGCAGCAGCAGGAACAACCTGATGATGAAGAGCAGCAGGAGCAGCGGAAGGCTCATATGTTTAAACTATCCCAAAATGCTTGCTGCGTAATTCAATGAGGTGTACATACACCCCAAATGCTACATAAGTGCTTTGTCTTCTACTGCAGATGCATGTAGCAGAAGCGCAACAGCAGCTAGCAGCAAAAAGTAGACGAAAACAATTTCGAGATGCGCTGCAGCAAACTGCTGCAGAAATAA